CAAAGCATGAATGATAAACAGTTTGAAGGAGAAAAAAGACAATGAAAAAATTTACATAAACTCTAAGGGATTATTTCACTTAGCAGTTATAATATTCAAGGGGAATGTATATACTAAGGTCATAACAATTTCAGTTAACCGGAATAAATTATCGTGATTATTCTTGTAATATTTTGTATGGTTATTGGACACTGATAAATTAAGTATACACAATTGAATTTCACTAGTTATTTCTTCATATTTCTAATATCTCATTGTTAAATTAGACTTGATTAATTTTTGTTGTCAAAAAAGCGTTCAATGAAAGGATAGGACTTGGTAGTATTTTAGAAGTGAGATCCAGTAAATGGATTTATTCTTCAGCTGCATAGTAATGACTGATGGTATCTCCACTAGACCTTTCTTCAAACGACAAACCATCTTCTAATACGCTACTATATCATATCAGTTACATTTTGTACAACGGATATTATTTCTTACTCATTGATATATGCTTGCTTAACTGGTTCAAACCTTCTTATATTACTGTATACATTCAATAATACATAGGGATTCAGTAACATGTCACCATTTTACTCTCTTCTCTATAGTCTCTTGGTCTACCACTGCGCATAACCTTTCATTTCTCCTTCACACCATGTCCACCATGTAACCCTCACATGCCCAATTCGTCGTTTCCCATTTAGCTTCCACTCAAAGGCCTGGTCAGTCCCGTGATGTTTATGTGTATCTGTAGTTTGTTGCAAACGCTTTTCGTAATGCATCAAGTCTCTCAAACATCATATGAAAGCACTGACTCACCTGACCGACTTACTATTGAAAATCTCGATTTTGTTCACGCTTTATGCTGAATGCAATGCAGGGCAGTGCAGTAGAGTGGAGTAATTGTCCACACTGATTTCGCAATAATAAACGAAGGCCTGTCTTGCTGCCTTTCTTACCCTGGCTTTCACATCCTCATCTGTGCCTGTGCCGCCTCCTGTATTTGAGACAATGCTGCCTAGGTAGGTAAGTGGGTAAGTAGGTAGGTAGTTAGTCTGTCAGTTAGTTAGTCAGTTAGTTAGTTAGTCAGTTAGTTAGTTAGTTAGTTAGTTAGTTAGTTAGTTAGTTAGTTAGTTAGTTAGTTAGTTAGTTAGTTAGTTACGTAGGTAGGTAGGTGAAAGAGACAACCTCATTTAGATTTCTCCTGTTCATGGTGATTCCTGCTTGTTGCTGTTGTTGTTGTTGTTGTTGTTGGTGGTGGTGGTGGTGGTTGGATATCTTCATCACTTATGTCTTCTCCATGTTCACCTGAAGGAAGTGCTGTCTTCGCTGCTCTGCGTCTACTGTCAACTGGTTAGTTTTCACCTTTACATCTTAGAGCCTGTGTGGCATTAGACATTAGATGTAAATCATTATGGGTGAAATCGTAAACTTCTAGTGTCTTTTCATCAGGAAAACACCGTATACCGATCTTCTTGCTCTTCGCTTTTTGTTGCATGATCCATTTCAGTCCACCGAAGTCAACCACAATGGGAAACATCATCGGTGATAGTGAGCAGCAACCTCGTCTTATTCCTGTTATCACTTCACAGGTTCCACTGATCTTTCTATTGTAAATCACTTGGCATGTTACGTCGTCATGTAGCTGTTGAATGAGGTTGATAAATGGAAATGGTTGATATTCATAAGAATGCTATGTGGTTGCCTAATGGATAACGCTTTAGCGCTGGAAACGATGGGTGGTTAGTCAGAGTATTAACTAAAACACCATTACTCATCTGGATACAAATATCCCTAGCTGAAGAATGAGTTCCAAATAGCTCCCATTACTACTTACCATGAAGCAAAATTATAGCCTACTTAATCTTCAGACAACATCAAGACATCCGTACAATAGCAACTAATTTGCTAACAGAAGTTGACCATTTTAATCTATTATAACACTGAAAAAAATTACGTGTCAAGTCAATTTATATATGAAAATTAAAGGTCAAATATAGTGAATATGAAAAGGTTGTGACACTAGTCTTGGTAACATAATCAGATAAGGATTACCAAGGTAAATTAAGTGAAACAACAAACTGTTTTTGTACACACAGCGGGGGATTAAGTTTACGAATGGCTAACGCTTCGGCAAACTTCAGTATACGCCCCTGATTATTCCTGTATATTATCTTAAACGCTGTTTTCGTATTAACCCTGTGATTCATTTCAATAATATGTTTTGCTATAGATGACGATGGATGTCTGTCACCTGCACTTATCAAAGTTTGTGTGTTAAACTGTTTTTCTAGCCATTTGGGGATGTGTTCACCCACCCTAGTCTGCATTGAACGATTACTCCTCCTGATGTATGTGTGCCCACACATACATGTAAATTGGTAAACGCAGTAGGATGTGATGTAATCATTTGTGCGAGGTTGAGGTTTGTGGTGAAGCAGGTGTTTTGTCGTCTCAACAATGATAAGCTGAGCTGCATAGTATGTTTTACTGATAACAGATTTTAATCTCTGCTTCAATATCATACTACTTGTTTCCCCTCTGTATGGTACTTTAAGAAATATGCTTTTCTTCGGGACCGAGGAAACTGTAGGCTTTGGGGTCAACTGTTTTTTACAATGGTTGACAAACTGTAATGGATAACCGTTTTCCACTAGAGTGTCTGTCAGAAACTTATTCTCATCATCCATCGTATCAGATGTACAAATACGTTGGATTCTATTGAACAAGCATCTTACTAAGCCTCTCTTATATTTCATCGGACAAAAACTATGGAAATTCAAATACTGTCCTGTCCAAGTAGACTTCCTATATATTGATCGTTTTATAGATCCATCTTCCCTCCGGCACAAGAGTATATCAAGAAATGCAAGTTGATGGTCTTTTTCTTCCTCACATGTCAGACTGATATGATCTTGTACGGTATTAAGCCTTTTTAATAACCTCTTGGCATCCTCATCTGTGTCACATATTACAAAGATATCATCCACATACCTTCTATAGAGTGTGACATTGGTGATTAGATCTTGAGCCATTAGTTCAGTATGTGACATATATACGTCAGCTAATAACGGTCCTAATGGACTCCCCATGGCTACACCATCAATTTGCCGAAAGTGTTCACCTTCGAAAGTGAAATGAACCTTATCAGTACATAATAAAAGCAGTTCTTTCAAATAAGTTGAAGGAATAGGGAAAGAAGGATAATTCGAAGATATGTGGTCACAAAGAATATTAATTGTCTTCGTTAGAGGCACATTTGTAAACAGAGAGTTAACATCAAAAGAATACATTTTCTTATTTTTAATATTCAAATCAGTAAGATAATCAACAAGTTCAAACGTATCTTTCAGTGAATACTTACATAAATCATTACGAATCGGGCTCAGTAATTCGGCTAACCACCTCGCCAATTTGTGTGTGGGAGACTGACACATTGACAATATTGGGCGTAGTGGATTATCAATTTTGTGAATTTTTGGAAGTCCATATAGATTTGGGAAATTAGATCCCATGGGTTTCAAGGAATTAAACTCCGCTTTAGCAATGACATCCGTGTTAAGGAGTTTAACTAGACTAATTGTTACTTTTCTTTCTAATTTTCTTCGTCTTCTAATTATTTTATTATTATTATTATTATTAGTCCCTTGGGTTCCTAGTGGAACATAGGGCTTCAGTAGCACGCCTCCAGTGACCTCTGTTCTCTGAGATCTTTTGAACCTGGTCCCACGACAGCCCAGAAGCTCTCATTTCCTCCTCGCACGACCTCCTCCATGTCACCCTCACCTCAGATGCCCAACTCGTCGCTTCCCATGGGGATTCCACTCGAGGGCCTGGCGCGTGATGTCCTCAGTCGGCCTTCTCAGTGCATGGCCAATCCATCTCCACTTCTTCCTGCATATTTGTTGCGTGATAGCTTCTTGGTTGGTTCGTTCCCAGAGTTCCTTGTTGCTTATTCTTTCTGGCCATCTGATTTTCAGTAGCGAGCCAGCGTAAGCAGTTTGTTGATGAATGTCTGTAGTTTATTGGAAATCACTTTCGTAACGCGCCAAGTCTCTGAGCCATACAAGAGCACTGACTTGACGTTGGTGTTGAAAATCCGTACCTTGTTCCGCATGCTGACTGCAGAAGATCTCCACACTGGTTTCAGGTTAATGAACGCCTGTCTTGCTTTTCCGATTCTGACTTTGACGTCCTCGTCCGTCCCGCCTGTAGTTGAAACAGTGCTTCCTAGATAAGTGAAGGAGGTTACTTCCTTTAAGTTTCTTCCGTTGATGGTGACTGGAGTTTGTTGTTGTTGTTGGTGGTGGTGCGGTATCTTCATCACCTCTGTCTTCTCTATATTCACTTGAAGTCCCGTTTTCGCTGCCTCACCTCTTCTGTCAACCTGTTAGTTTTCGCCTGTAGATCTTCAAGTTTGTGCGACATTAGACACAAGTCATCGTTGGTGAAATCCAAGTCTTCTAGGTTCTTTTCCGCAGTCCAGCTAGCGTATCCCCCTCTTCTCACAGCTCCCCACTGTTTGCTGCATGATCCAGTCCACCACAATAAGGAATATCATGGGGGATAGTAGACTGTAGTCTTGTTTCACTCCTGTCTTCACTTCAAAAGCATTACTGAGCTTCCCATTGTGGATTACTTGGCATGTGGCATCTTCATATAGTTGATGAATGAGGCGGATAACGGTTTGCGGTACTCCGTAGTAGTGAAGCAGTTTCCAAATTACTTCTCGATCGACGCTGTCAAAGGCCTTCTCAAAGTCGATGAAGTTGAGGTAGAGAGCTGATTGCCATTCTACACTCTGTTCTATGATGATGCGAAGCGTTGCGATTTGGTCTGCACATGATTTGTACTTCCTGAAGTCGTCTTCTAATAACGTTATCAAAATTTATTAAAGGGACTAATTGTTTCAAAATTACATGTATCAATAAAAACAAAACAAAACCGGATTATCTTAAAATAAATAAAAACATAATTTTTTTCATAAATTGAAATAAAATTATTTTTCTTTTTTTCAGTTCCAGAAAATGATCTAATTCCAAAGTCAAAGATTGATTGTCGTCGTTCAACATTAGGATGTTCAGCAGTTAACTGTTTCCCTATAAAGTTAACTAATACACCAAAAAAGTTATTTGTTCATGAGGATACAGAAGTTTATAAATTAGCCGATAATCAAAAACAACTTTCTACTTCAAGTAATCAAAATGGATTACTCTCTACTACTACTACTACTACTACTACTACTACTGCTACATTGAATTCTCGAAGAAATTCTGAATTTATTAAGAATAATCATGAATGGAAATTATTTACACCAAATGAAGGTTCTCTGATGAAATCATCATATAAAAATGCATCAATACACTTTGGTAATGATGAGGAAAAGATTAAATCGTTTGAAGGTTATAAACATCAAAGTGTAAGTTTGTTATTCACATATATTTGTATAGTGTTGAATAAGTAATTGGATAATTTTCATTTTAACATTAAGAACAAGATATGATTTGAGGAAGAGACTGTTATCAACGAAGAGAAAGAGAACATTTATAGTTCAAGAGAAAAAACATTTTGATGGTGTTAGTGGTGAAACTTTCTTTCCTACTCTAGATACAATATCCTCGGTATAAACTTTAGAAAGAACTGACCAATAAGATTTACTTCACAATTTGTTTAGTAGCTTGTCATGATATCCAATAGGAAACAAATAGAAGGTCATATTTTAGGTCATTAGGACAACCAATCAAAATAATCATTCAGACAATGATAATACCTTGACAGAAACAACCAATTATACAAAAGGTCATCAAAATAACGTACTAAATATATTGTAGAGAAAACCTTATTGCTCAATTCTTTTTAAAGTTTGTGATGATGATTCTGTCTAGAATGACAGTGAAAGCTCCAGTAATAAGCAGTCCAGCTCAAAAAACAAAACACCATCAATGTATATATACATTTTTGATCATTATTATTTTTTTTTCGGGTTCCTAGTGGAACATACGGATTCAGTAACACGCCTACATTCCACTCTCTTCTCTGCAATCTTGTCAACCTGGCTCCACTACTCCCCACAACCTTTCATTTCTTCCTCACATCATCTCCTTCATGTCACCCTCACCTCAGAAGCAAAACTCATGGCTTCAAATTTGGGTTCCACTCGACGGCCTGGCCTGTACGTGACTTCCCCGAATAGTCTTCTGAGTGTATGCCCAATCCAATCCATCTCCAATTCCTTCCACTGCATATTTGTTGGGTGATAGGTTCTTGCTTCGTTGGTTCGTTGCCACAGTGAGTTTTTTGTTGCTTATTCTATCTGGCCATCTGGCCTGATCTTAATTAAGTATGGAGTGAGCGTAGGCGGCAGCTGTTGATGAATGTCTGTAGATTGTTGGAAATGCTTCCCGTAACGCGCCAATTTTGTGAACCATCACATGGAAGCACTGACTTGGCTGGATTAATGTTAGAAATCCGGATGTTGTTCACGCATTATGCTGAGTGCAGTGAAGCAGATCTCCACACTGATTTCAGATTAATGGAAGCCTATCTTTCTGCCTTTGCGATCTTGGCTTTCACATCCTCGTCTGTGCCTGTGCCGCCTGCAGTTGAAACGACGCTGCCTGGGTAGGTGGGTAGTTGAAACAGACAACTTCCTATAAGTTTCTCGCGTTAATGGTCATTTGTAGTTTTGTCCTTTGGTTTCTGGGTGCTGAACTGGAACTGTGGTCTATCACTAACTTCGTTGAGGCCTTTCAACTTGATTTGGAAGGATCTTTCCACTAGATACTGAGTGACATGAACATACATATGCTCCCCTTCTTTATGTCATCTTGTGTCCAGTAGTCTGCCTCTCCACTTTCTTCACATTGAAATGAAGTTGATCTGATTTTTAGTAAAGCGTGTCCATTTCGCGAAATCGAATCCATGTCGCTCGCTTTGTGAATATCCTTGTGTTTGTATACGCTGACTTCTATCACCAAATCGTTGAATGCACAGAAGTCTCCAAACAATTCTCCATTCTCGTTCATGTCACCCAGCGCTTCTCTACCCATGGTTAGTTCTCTTCTTGTGTTGTCAGCTCACAGTTTGGCATTCATGTTACCCGATCCATTAGAATTTTGATGTCACCATTTCGAGTCTTGTCTAGTTCTGACTGCAGTTGTCTATAGAATTCCTTCTTCTTCTCTTCGTCTGCATTATGTGTAGGTGCATAGTGTAGCATTGTATCATTATGACTTCCCTCCCTCTTGACTTGAATCTTGCTGTTATGATCCTGCAGGAGGAGATTGGTTTTACTGTATGAGAGCTTTCGATGCTGTTGGGGACATCATGATAGCTATTCCAAAACTCAGTATGCTTGTGGTTGTCGTCTGGGTGACCACAGTAGATTATTGATTCTCCTGCTGACAGTTTGGAGGGTTCACTTCCATTCCACCTGCTTTCGCATGTTCGTAGCACTTCTATGATATACTTTCTCATCTCTTTTGCAATGGGGCAGCCTTGCTAGGTTCAGACATTCCATGTCCCCATATTTACTTTCGCTTTTATCGAGAGAAGAAAAGATATATCGGCCAATTGGCTTACCGAAGGATTTAACCAAACGGTGTCATTTCGTCTCCCCTTTTTCCAGAGAGGAATAAGTTTGTTTTTATTTTTCATATATTGTTTGTGCTCTGAAGTTTCTTTAGCGGTTGGATTAGTTTCCCAGGGTAGGGTTACTAGGCATATGCCTAGGCTTCCTTTTTCATTCACGTTTAGCACCGTCTGGTAACTAGTGAACTAGTTAACCAGGCGAGGTTTATATATATATATATATATATATATATATATATATATATATATATATATATATATATATATATATATATATATAGGATGGTAGTTGGATGGAGGCAGTCGATTTAATTTAATTGAAGGAAATTAACCCTTCTTTTGTAGACTGCCATAGATGACTGCTGGAAAATGTGCATTCATCTTGATTGTATTGTGTTCTCTGAGATGGGTTGTTTAGTTGTGGAGACGCTTTAATCGTCTTTCTCCTAGACGACATCATCAGCACTAACTCCAGTATGATGTGAACTGTAAGTGTCTCTTCGTGAGTGATTCAGTAGCTTACACTGACCAACTGGTTTGTGATTGCTTGTTTCCTTCGATTACGGTGTCATCGACTGACTGCATAAATTTTCCTGTTGGCTGTCCCGCTGATTGATCTCTCACCTTTCTCTCTCTCATCATTTTCCTCACTCGTGGATAGCTTTGGTCTATGTCTATGCATCTGTTGACTGCTGACTGACTCACCTGAATGCCAAGCGTCTAGGAATTCTTTGATGATATTCTTTATGTTTCCTCTCTCCACCGAAGATTTCTACATTGTCGAGATTGAATTCATGTCCATATTTGTGTTATCCACATGCATTGAGCAACGAGTGATGAAATGTCTTGTGTGAGGTTTAATAGCCAATTGGTGTTCATGTAGACGAAGGTGAATGTGGGCGACCACCTTGTCCAATATAGTGTTGACCACATCGATGGTAGGATGATGCGTTTATTGATTTCCGTTGATGACTTTGTAGTTGGTGATGTACGAGATAGACATCTTGTGATAAAGTTTCGTTGGTAGCCATTTTTCTTTAGGGTGGACATCAAGTAGTTTTCTTGGTTTCTCCGTGAAGTTTGTATTCTGTAGTGCTTGAGTTCTCGCTCTTTTGAATGGACTTTGCATGCAGCTAATTTTGTGCATTGTTTGGGTTGTTGCTACTGTAGTTGAGGATTTGACCAGTTAGTGTGTGTTGGCTTCCTGTACACTTGGACTTCCAGCTTTCCGGCATTTGTCCTACTAACTAGAACATCCAGGAATAGTAGTTGGTTGTTTGACTCCTTCTCCATTGTGAAGTTGAAGTCATTGAAAACGTTGTTGATCAGACTGTAGGTCAATGACACATCATTCAAAGAAATATCCAGTCACAAACCATTTCTTCAATGTAAGCTACTAAATTACTCAAGGAGAAATATTCACAGCTCACATCATACTGAAGTTAGTGCTGATGATATAGTCTAGGAGAAAGGCAATGAACGTATCACGACTAAACAGCTCAGCTCAGAGAACACAACACAACCAAGACCATCCACCTGAGCTACAAATATTCTTCACAATATCATTATGCAATCATGGATAAATTTGCCTTAGGCTGTAGATACTTTAATCTCTTTAATGCTATTTTCTAAACGACAGTTTTTAGTAGTATTCAAGATGGATATTTCGGAAACCCAGTGAATTATGATATATCCGCTGGAACTCAAGCACAACATAACACCAGACTGTTACCCACCAGAGCCACCTCTTGTTTCCAATTTCTCATTGACTGTCATACTGGACTGATTTAAACTAATTGGTTAGCTTGGTAATGTGTTCCATGAATGGATACCTAAACATTTGATATTGCTTACAGGATGATGATTAGCAATGGGCGATTTGTCCAAGCTTCAGCTAGAACGTCATCACCCATAGGAATCAGAATACCGCCAGCTAACCAGCGATCAACAAAGAGGCGAAAATGTGCATAATGGACTTCATCACCAACTAGATCTCATATCATAAAAAAAAGAGGATCATTTCAATCTAGGCTAAGAATAGACACAAAACTACAGACATCAGTAAATAAACTTAATCCTTCTATGAATTACTAATCAGGATCTAATGTAAACGTTCTCATCTACCAATTAGAACATTAGGATTCGCGTTCTTATTCAGTTGAATACGTCTGACACTTTTTATATCCAGAAAATTGTTATGGGGTTATAAAAAATTAGTCGAGATAAAACGTTTGAATACAGAACTGATAACTTGAAAAAGTTAAACTTACCTCTGACAACTTCAACGATCATAATTCAACAATAAACTGATCAACTACAGTACAGTGTAGCAGAGTGGAGTAGATCTCCACACTGATTTCATATAATAATGATGGCCTGTCTTGCTGTCTTTCCGACTGCAGTATTTTTCAACGCAGTCTAAGGGTCAATTTCAGTAGAGTTAGGATTTTCTTTTTCACTGAATTGAAAAATGCGAGGGTAAAAGATACACTACAGCTGCATGATTGTTCAGCTTACTGATTATGATTATTATTTGTCCCTTGGGTTCCTAGTGGAACATACGAATTCAGTGGCACAGAGTCATTCCACCCTCAACTGGCGTCTTCTTAAACTGGATCCATGACTGCGAATAAGTTTTCATTTCTTCCTCGCACGACCTTCTCCATTTCACTCTCACATGCCCAACTCGTCATTTCCCAATTGGCTTCCACTTGACGGCCTGACCTGACGAATGATGTCTCCAAACAATCTTCATAGTCTATGTCCAATGCAATTCATCTCCACTTTTCTCTTCTGAATTTTGATGGGCGATAGGTTGTTGCTTCGTTG